GAATATAAATAAAGGAGGAGAGGTTTCAACATGACAAAATAATAATTTTAACGGGTAAAAAAGTGACAGTGCGGCCATAAAGGAGGCAGAGATGATGGAAGCAAAGGCAGGACTGCAGAGATGTGGCAATCGATCTTTTCTTTTATGTGCTTTGTCTCTCTCTCTTTTTTTGTATTTTTACGAAAGAGCAGGATTGTATCTTTTTTATTTTGTAACCTATTTTTCATTTCAAATTGTTTACCAACGGTTGGCATCCTTTAAATTTTGAGTCAAAGCCTTGTATATAAATGTGGATTCCGATTAATGATTAATTTTGTGACACTCCATACTTTGTTATTATTTGAAAATAGGTTGTGTATGTTTTAATTTGATCTCATTTTTATCCCGCGGATTAGTGGGTTACGAATACTTTGAGATACCTCTTCTAACGTTTCGCTTCATAACACTAACTTCTTTGTGATTTACTCTATTATCGTTACCTTCCTTATTTTATTTTATTTTAATTTTTTTGTCCATTTACTCAGGATTGTAGTTGAGTACATTCTGAGTAATAGCATATTCTTTGCTTTTCAGAAAAATCAAAGACCCATATTAGCAAATGGTTGAGACTATAAGAGCTGGATCGATCTCTGATGAGTTGATATTGATTTTTTCCACCACTAAAAATAATGGGTCTTTTTTCCTATATTAGTATGACAATCTTGAGATGCGAGTACCGTTTGTTATTTCAAAAGCATGCTTGGTAAGTTTTATTGTGATTTGGAATGACTGTAGAAAACAAGTTTTTTTGGCGGTGGAATGTGAAGTGTGCTTTACTTTTCGATTTTGACTTTCTAGAACTCTTCATATTTTTACGAGTTATGAAAATTGAAAATGTATCAGCCTTAAGCATTTTGAGAAACTCCTTTTGTCTGTACATAGAGAAATTTAAAAAATTTTGAGGTTGCTATTACATCTGACTTTGAAAATTTATATATTGATTTGAATTCTAAGAAAATAATACACACGAGAAAATAATCTGGCTCAACTAGCAAAATAACTTCTTATACTTTTTTTTTCTATTACTTTTTAGATTTTGATGGTCTTTTTGTTTTAAATTTAAATTTGTAATTCAAAGTGAAAAAACAAATAAAAGAGTAATTCAAGTTAATAAGAGACTGGTCGATATTACATGAAGAAGACGGAGAAACTTGCAACTAAAACATAAGCATTACCAGCAAGTGAAAACTTCTTTTCATATACAAGAATAGTTTCCAGAATTTTTCTTTAGGCCTTTTGCTGTTAGGCCGTCGTGGCTTTATACTTCCATTCTTACTTCTTTGTTTAAAACAAATTAACCGATACGTGATGTCATTTTTTTTTGTTAATTTGGTTTTATTGTTTTTATTTTATAAAAATCTTATTGTTGAAAAATACCTCCGGCTTGAAGTAAAAAATTCGTACATTTAGATTACTTAATTTTTGCAAAGATCTATTTTTGGTAGTTTTTGCAAAGATCTACTTTTGATTAGGTTTTGCAAGGATCTATTTTTGGTTATGTAAGATTTTTTTTGTTTCGACAAAATTTCAAGAATATTTCATCATTTTTAAATTTTAAAGATGTCTTTAAAGGCCGCGCGAACCTAGAATTATTTCACTAGTTGTATAATCATTGTATCCCCTAATTAATATCACATCATGGCTTGGTATTGAACCATCATTACACTTCTATACCAAAACTAGTGTGCAGAATTTTTTTTATTTACACCTCATCGACATACCTGCACTATAAAAGCTAACCACCTAGCGTCTTACGATGCCGCCGCTAATTTCCCCAATACGACTCTTCTCTGAGTATTTTGCCTCTTTGTTTCTAAGACCCAGGAATTAATTACCCAAATTTTCTACTCTTTAGGTGGCAGCCATAAGATAATGGGCTTAACCCACTCCTCTTTATTTAATAAATCACCAAAGTAAACTATATAAGTATAGTTAAAAAAATTAGCCACTAACCACTTATTTAGTACCATATCTCATATAGTAATAAAATTTCCTTCCACAACTTAATATTTGACCCCAATATCTACAAATTAAATTAGTTCTCCAATCTCCTAATTAATAAGTGTATAAAATATTTTGGATTGTTGCAAACTATAAGACAAGCAAGGCATGGGACAATTTAGGTATACAAGAAAAGCAAATAGAGACAAGTAGCAAATAAGCATAAAATTATGGAAGGGACGGACAATTTAATACAAGAATAACTAAAGGACAAGTAACAATTATGGCATGGAAGTCAAATAAGCATATAGCAATTAAGGCACGCAACAAGATTTACTATGAAATAACGAAAACATGAAAGCAAGTAATACAATGGCGCATATACACTTATCACCTCGCATATACGATGTTTCACACGTAATTCACGTAACATGAAGTTTAAGGGTTCCAATTCCCTCAAATCAAGGTTAGACCCAACACTTACCTCGTTCCGCAACTCAAGCAATCAATCAATCACGACCTTGTCTTTTGAACAAGCCTCCAAACCAACCAAATCTAGCAAATTATTGACCAAATGATTCAAAATAAGCTTCAGAAATTACCCAGCAATGAAAGTGGTTCAATTTAGATCATTTTTGAAAAAGTCAACAAAAATCAACCCCGGTCTCGCTTGGTCAATATCGAGATTCAGACCAAAACCCGATTACTCATTCATCCCGATCTCAGATATGTGATTTGTTTCGAAATCCGACCTCTATTCGAGGTCTAAATCTCAATTTTACAAAAATTCTTAATTCTACCCAAACCCCTAATTTCTACCATGAAAATCCTAAATTTGATATTGAAATCTCATGAAATGTAATGGGTAATTGAAAAGAGATGGATTAAAGTCACTTACCAATGAATTTAGGAAGAGAAATCTCTTGAAAAATCGCCTTTAAGTTGTTTAGGGTTAAGAAATTGTGAGAAATGAGCTAAGTCATGTTTTCCCCCTCTTTTACCGAGCAGTAGATGACGCAATTGCGATGTCTTATTCGCAATTGTGAACACCGCAAATGCGAGACAAGGATCGCAAATGCGAAACCTGTATCAGGACCACAGAAATCGCAAATGCGACATTTGGTTCGCAAATACGAACTCCCAATCTTCGCAAACGCGAAGGCAGCTCAAGGACTAATGAGTCGCAAATGCGACTCTAAGATCGTAATTGCGATCATAAAAAATGCGAAGCCGCCCAATCCAGCCCATGCTCTCAAATGCAAACCATTATTCGCAAAATCAATGCTCGCAATTGCGAGCCAAACCTTGTAATTGCGAGATCTGCAACAGAGCACCAAGACTAGTATTGCACCAGCAATCCTAGCATTAGCCAAAATCATGTGAAACACGTCCGAAACTAACCCGAACCCCTCGGGCTCCAAATCAAACATGCAAACAAGTGTAGTAACATCACATGAACTTGCTCGCGCAATCAAATCACCAAAATAACATCTAAATCTACGAATCAATCCTCAAAACGAATGAACTTTCAAAGTGAAACTCAAGAACACTATAATCACATTTAAGCGTCCGAATCATGTCAAATGAATTCCGAATTGAACCAAATTTTGCAAACAAGTTTCAAATAGCAATACAGAACTATTCCTAATTTTAACATCAAAATCCGAACCTGTTAGCTAAGAAGTCAACTTACGGTCAAACTTAGTAATTTCCAACTTTCAATAATGCTAGTTTTCGGCAAAATGAGTCAAAACAAGTTAGGGACTTCCGAATTAAATTTTGGGCATACGCCCAAATTTCAAATCACAATACGGACCCACCGGGACCGTCAAAATACTGATCCGAGTCTGTTTATTTAAAATATTGACCATAGTCAACTCAAGTCATTTTAAGGTAAAATTTCATATTTTCTTCAATTTTCTGCATAAAATTTTCCGAATTAGGACACAGACTCCGCACGTAAATCGAAAAATACTAAATGGAGCTAATCGAGATCTCGAAACACAGGAATAGAGGCAAAATCTCAAAATGACCTATCGGGTCATCACATGTCCTAACAAAACGTATGTTTTTAGTTTTATAATTAATTAAACTAAATATTATTAATTTAGAAAATATATATCAATTATTTTTACAATATTAGTTATAAAAATATGATTGCTAATTAATGTATATTCAAGAAAATATATGCATCTTAAATACCAAATATAATATCATTTATACTTATAAATAATCATTCATATGCATATATATTTATTATATTAACTTTTAATTTTTGATAATTACTTTATTTAAAATATAATCTAATTGTGTAATTACACTTATGCAACCAAACAGTATGCTTGTAATTACAATGTGATTATGTTATGACAAACAAACAGGTCGTCATAATTATTATATTGCGTAATTACAAGGGTGTGTAATTACTACCCTAGTAATTACACCAATTCCAATTATCGGATGACTTTCCAAACAGACCCTAATAAAGGACCTTTAAAATTTGGATAACATTCATTGAAGATTGGTTTTGCTATGGTAGTTTTACTGACACCTCCCATGCCCCAGATTCCAACAAATTGGGCATCATGTGACATAGTTCATGACAACTTATTCATTAGTTCTCTGACACGAGAAATAATTCCTACTGGATGCCTTGCCACGTTCATGTATCTGCGGTTTAATTTACACAAGACCTCCAGAATAATCATCTAGATGAACTTTGCCTCACCAAATATTGTCTTAGAGTTGAGCGAGAATCAGATTTATTAATAACAACTTACTATTGCTAGGCAAGGAATACAAGCAACAACCGACCAAATATTCGTCTTAGAGTTAGAAGGGAATCAGATTTTACTAGTAACAACTTACTATATATTTTAGAGGCTACAAAATGTAGAACTTTAATATTTGCAGTAAAATTGGGAGTAAATCAGATTTTCTCTGGAGCAAACTAGATTTTATTTTAGAAAAGTTTGTAATAACTTTTGACCCTAGAGCCCCATGTCCCTCCTATATATAGTGATATGCTTTATCAGTCACCATCATTCTCAATACAACTTAGCCTATCTGGGGAGATGATGAGGGCTACCATCACTGAAGAGGACGACGATGACGACGATGGAATCCAATTCCAGCAGGAATCCTCTTCATGGATTCTTCAACATTGAATCAATGAGTTACCAAGTTTGTAAGTTCCTCTCTTCGTTTATGCTTTGATTCTAATCTTTGATGTGTCGATCTGCCTTTTTTGTTTATAAAAGTCCCATAAAAAGTAAAAGACATTGAGTCTAATAAATTATATCTAATGATTGGTTAATTTAATTTACAGTGTGCATGGTTTGTGGTTTTGCTGCAATAATAAAGGACGGAAGGTTTGATTCACTTGGAAAGGGGACGTTAACTCCTTTGTCTTCCTTTCCTCCGACGGTAGCCTTGAGCTTTCTTGTCTCTTGTTGCGAGTCTCAACCCATTGCGTGTCGATCATATTATCATGTAAAGTACGATCAGAATTATTCGGAGACTATGGATCAACATAAGAAGTTAATCTAGAGGATACATGGCATTTACTTGGGTTTTTCCCCTCCCGGTGAAGAACAAGTTCACAGCCGAATCCTGAACCTTCTTTGGGAGGAAGCATGAAAATTTCAAAGTAATCATGTTTTCGAGTAGCAGCCTTCATTTCTTGAATTGATCGCAAGGATAGAAGGATTGGAAAAAACTCGTGAGAAGAGCAACAACAGACCAACTTTATTATGGGAGATATGGGAAGAATAAAACAATAGATAGCATGTTAATTAAATATTCGTATTTGAAACATTTAGACTTAGATAATCAGAATGTATTGATTTGTATAGGATAAGAGAACTTTTTTCAGGCTATTAGCTTTCGTATGTAAAGTGTAAACTGGTATTGTAATACGAATCTCCATTTATTGTCTTGATTGTTTTAAGTGAATTTCCACATTTGCAATTTTATTTTCATTTGTTATTTTATCATCTAAAGAGCCATCTACTGTAGACGTTTGTTTTTACACCTCTTTTTTATCTAATAAACATATAATCCTCCTTCATGCTTACACAACGTGAGAAACATACAATATTAAAATCAAACTTAAATAGTAGTATTAATATATAAACTATGAAAGGCAATTTTAAAAGAGTAGAGAAATTATCTGCTCTTATTTATGTTGCATCATTGTTTAATGTTAGGACGNATATATATATATATATATTATTTAATGAACATCGTTTTTTAAAAAATTAGACAAGTGAGGATGTGGAATTAAAAAATATGAAAACTTAGTTTTATAAAGTACAGAATTAAATGAATTTAACGTTGATTGCATCACAGCTGAAATGGGAGAACCCAGAAAACATACCTCCTCCGTCCCAACTTAAGTGACTCCTTTTTTTAGTAAGTCCCTTTCTATATTTGGTAACAATTTAACTTTAGATTTTTCTTTTTACCATTAATGAGATGATATCTAGCCCACAAATTTCTATGATTTATTTAAGATTACAAGTTTCAAAAGCTTTCCTTTATTTCATAAACTCCATGTCCAGTCAAACACTTTCATATAAATTGGGACGGAGAGAGTATAATTTATGTAAAGAAAATAAATAATAAGTTAGATTATTAGATATAGTTATGTGACCAACTAATGAATAGAGAAATATAATTAAGTAAAAAAGTAAAATAAGATTGACAGAAAACTATTTTAGTTATATTAATTAGAGGAAGAAATCGAGTTATTAAAAATTAACATGACAATAAAGAAATAAATTTATCAATAATAAGAGATAATTATATAAATAATATACTACTATATATAGAGAAATAGTAATTTTGGGGCCTTTAAATTTTTGGGGCCTAAAGCAAGTGCTTCACTTGTTTTAGGGTCAGGACGCCCCTGTAGTTAAGGAGTTTAAAAGACGGGGAAGGAAAAAGTGTACGCATCAAATGATGAAAAGATAACCTTGCTACTAAAATTCAAGTAAAATTACACTGATCTGAACTGTTATGTCGAGGAAGAGAAAAACTCGAAAATAAAGAAGTTAATAATACCAAATTTTAACGTGAAAAACTCTTCAAATCGAAGGTAAAAGCGACATGATCACAAAGATATAAAAAGCTTCACTATAACTATAAGAGGGATACAAAAGTTCTTCAAAATAACTACACAATAAGTGGCAAACACGAAGCAACAATAGCAACAACAAATCAATTGAAAAAAGAAGAGAAGTTACAAAAATAAAGTTGTTATTCGGGGCTCGAAATCGGCTGCGAAGGGCCACCAAATCTGATCTCCACCGTTCAAATCAAAGATCAAGATGTTAGAAACACTCAGTCAAAATTTCAGCAAGATCCAGTGGTGAAAATATTGGAAGACATAATTTGAAGCTGGCTGGTCGGAACAAAATCTGCAGCAAAACGAACACTTTTTCTTCTCTCTTCTCTCTTAACGAAAGTTCTCTCAAAAATTACTCTTATGTGCTAAAGTCTTTCAAAGACATATATCAAAAAGCATAGAACAATTCTCTAAGTTGCTCAATTTGTAGATAATGAGTGATGCTTTCTTTAAAAACCAAAACCAACTCCAAGTAGGAATAACTATCGAATCCAATTCCGAATAGGAATGGAATTCAAAAGAGAATAGGATTAGGCCATTAGGCCTTTGGCTGGATAACATGGGCATGAGCCCAACAAACTCCCTCTCAAGCCAAGGGGCCAAATGTATCTTCAAGTAGAGGAGCTATTGATAGGCTTTATGTCCGCCAATTTTCTACAAAACTCATGCCTATCTGCAACCACCGCTTTCGTCAACATATCTGTGGAGGCTTTTTCTTAATTTTGTGATGGTTTCGGACCCCCACAAATTGAATTGTGGGGGTTTTACGAAATGCCATGGTTATCATCCCCACAAGGCTTTTTGTGACGGTTTTAAAGAACCCCCACGACGACCTTCGCAAATTAACTTTGTGATTAGTGGGGGTTTTAAAGTCAAGTAAGGGCGGGCTATAACCTTCTTTATATGATTTTAATGCTAAAAAATAATAATTTATGGGGCTTTGTAACTGTCGCAATATGATCTGTGATTTTCAAAAAATAATTAGTGGCAATGTATAACCATCACAATATGAGCTTTCTGTAAAAAATAATTAATTAGTTGGGGTCTATAATTGTCACAATATAATCTCTTTTATAAATTTTAATGCGTGGGGGTTAATTACCGTCACAAGCTAAATATTGAAATGCCCTTTCTTCTCATTAAATATTGCATGATTAAATAAGATCAAGCTTGTACATATGCATAAACAAAAAAATATTATTTACTACATAATACTATTTATATAGCAGAAATCAAATTTTATTAAAACATCCACAATAGTAACAGTCACAACTTCAAGTACTACAAATCATACCAAAGCAATATAAACTAAAGTAGTTCCTAAATATTACTACTTAAAATCCATAAAAGCAAAAGTAGTTCCACATTAAATAAATAAAATTCTAAATATTTGCTTGGCGATTCTCGTCCCTGCTGCCCGATGATCTTCTTACATCCACCGGTGAAGTAGGTTCACTTTCTTCATCATCACTAGGCTGAAACAATAAAAAGCATATTCAGATGAAAAATCTAATCATTATACTATATTTAAAATTTGAATGCTTCCTTAAAGTGATGATTATCTAGCTATGACCAAGATGAGGACTATATCCTCGTTACAATCATTTGCCTGATAATAATGCTTATGGCATTCTGTTAGACAAGAAGCAATTGTATCATACAGAGACATAATTTCTATACATGGAAGATTCTCAAGTTAGATTATACATATAAATAACATGCTTTCCTAAGTGACAGAAAAACAAGAACTTATACCAATATCTCCCTACTGCCATATGAAGGCATATTTCAGATGTCTTCAATCAACCATGCACTCTTGGAATCAATTTCTCAAGCATGTACAATATTCTAAATCGCGGTACGCAACTTAGCATCATCAAGATTCAAATATATACTAATGCATTTTACCGTTATCTATGATGCATCCTTATTCCTTTTCTTTGCAATAATCCAACCAAACCAAATTAAAAGATAACACAGAAGACATATGCACAAAACACATAACTTCTAATGTTCTTCTTACTTGTGGTTGAGGAGCAAACAGACCAGCAAATTGCTCAGGAACTCTTCCTTCCTTTGATATCATGTAAGCTTTCAATGCAGTTAAGGTGTCTGCTAATTGGGACTTCAAATGAATGACCTCTTGTTGCAAATAGGTGAAAGTTGCAGATGATGCGCCGAAGCTAGATGAAGAATGATTAAGCTCATTAAGTCATTGCTTGATATTCTTGAATGTCTTTGAAGGAGCTGCTCCCATACCCATACATCGTACCCTCCCTGAATGCTCTGCCCCTAACACCTTGCCAATAATATCATCTGGGAAAATTTCAGATTCATTGGTATTGCCTTGAGTCAATTCAATTTGTTCCTACGAGCAGACAAATTATCAATTAGTATGTACAAAAAGTAAGATTGAGATGCAAAATGTTAAAATATAACTTCAAATGATGTCAGAGAAATACACCAAAGCTGAACTTACCACTATAGTCCTTGCCTCATCATTTACAAATGATACATCCCTTCTCTTATGAGTTTCGATAAATACCTTTCCCCGAGTAGGATTTTTTCCAGTTTCCAAAACTAAGAAAGAGATAAATTAAATAGATTGTAATAAAGCATTTAAATTAGAGAACAAGTAAAAACTATTAAGTTAATATGAATACCAACTCATGTCGTCGTCTCGAGTTAGCTTTGGAAGCGCCAGTGTGAGGCATTGTTTGTTTGCGTCGAATTTCTTTATTTCTTCTACAACTTTCCTATCAACAAAATAATAACAACTTAAAAAGTTAGTCTAATATTTAATCATAACAACATCAAAATCTATTTAGATAATCAGAATCTTACAATTGTTGATGATTTTAGATGATAAGCAACAAAACCAGCAGCCACTGATCTCTATTTATACCCGGTGGCACATTGCTTAAAAGTTCAGTTCTTCTTTTGGCTGGATCATAAAATTCATCCCATAACCTATGTCTATGTGTAGGCCACTTCTTATTCAAACTAGCATTGCAACATCTGTATGCAATGGCATTAGTAGTCCTAAAAACAATCGAGGCTTCAAATGAAAAAGAAAAACAAAGCTAGTTTTCTCTTCATGCAGAAAATTCTAGTTACAATAAATAGACATATGTGTAATACATTTAGCATAGTTTCAAAGTAGTCTTCCTTTTAAATTTTATGAATACCTGATGGTCCTGACCACCTATCAAAATTAATTGGGGAGAAATTGCCATCAATAGCCAGTAATCCACAATATTCGACAAGCAACCCTTGCGCTTTTCCATATGCTGCATCGTAGTTATCAAAGTCCACAATGATGTGATCTCCGATAGGTAGATTGTTGATTTCATTGACCATTGACCTTGATCTTAATGTGCTTGGTAGTGTTGTTTGAGTCTTTAATAAAAAGACAAGTTAGTCAACCAAAAGGAAAAATATCAGAAATAAACATATATATATGGCATATACCTATTGCCTCTACTTCCCAATATTGTGTAGATTCACGTCCAGGATGGCGTGTGGACATTGCATTTGGATTAGAAGGCTGAGTTGGAGTTTGTTCTTGTTGTGGGACTTCATCAGCTACTGAGGAACTTGCAGGAGCATGCGGGAGAACTTGTAACGATGTTGAGGGCTCTATAGCAAGTGACGACGCTGGAGGTGTTGACGATGAAGAATGTCCAGGAGTATCTTATGGTCCATGAGCTGATTTCAATGGATTTCGAAAACGTTTAATCTTTGGCATTGCTTCATATTCATAAGAAAAATAAAAAAAATGGTGAATCATATATGATCTAGTGCACTAAGATGAAGCGAACATGGAACTATGGCAGAACATTAATTACCAAAAAATTCCACAAAATTGTCATTTTCACTGTTTTATTTAAACAAAGGAATGGCCAAAAAACAAAGTAGGAAAAGAAAAGGATGGCCTAGCAGCGGCATAGACATGTGAAATTAAGGATGGCCTGAGAGCATACCAACCATTTATTTTAGATTGCTAACCAATTAATCTAATTTTTTCATTCTTAAATAACAGAGTTCTAATTTTCCTATTTAAAGATAAACACACAAAGCTAGGTATTTCTTGTTCGCTTTATTCTAATTCTCTTCACTTTCATCATAAAAGCATTTCATAGTTAAGGCTGCTAAAATCAATCAAATGTGAGAAATAAGCAGGCCATGAATAATAACTACAACTCAATCCCAATTTACATTAAGTTTAGACCTCTGAAACTCAAAAAAAGATATTTTCAATCATCTAATAGAGACTCTGGAGAAGAGGAAAAAACAGAAATAAGATTAACTAGAGAACTAACGCAAAAAAGGATCTAATAAATTACTAGAGTAGCAGATAAACGTTGATGATAGAACAAGCTGAAATTCCTTATGAGACAAATAAAAATACATGCATTCATCCATTAGCCATATATAAAAAGAAGAAAATAGGCATGTACATAGCTAGATATTAACAAATTGGGGGAAAAAAATATAAAAAGAACCTTTCTTCTGAACGTTCAAGCAACATAGCACTAAGAAACTATAAGTTGTAATTCTATTTGTATCCTCAAATCGGAATAATACTTGAATGACACTCCGTAAAATCGAAGAGCATAAACACCTAAAAAATTTACAAACTCTAACTAGGAACTTAAAGTCTCTCACCAAATAAGAAATCAAATCGTGAAAATAAAAGCAGTTGAAACTTACCGATTTACTAAATCCGGTTTACAAAACTGGATGAATACTAAAAGTGGGGGGCTGAGAGAGAGGTGTTAAAGGCGAAAGTTTCTGGAGAAAGGGGTTAAAGGCGTGAAGGGTTGGGGAAGGAGGGAAAGGGGAAAATGTGGGGGGAAATAAAGGTGCTTTTTTTTTAGGGTAGCAGAGGTTTATTTGCGTCACTTAAAGATCCCTCTCCCCCCCAAATTGATACAATTTGTGGAGATAGTAAGAACCTCCTCAATAAAACCTCCGCAAGTGGCCCATTTTCTTGTAGTGGTATCGTCTCAACCTCAAGTAATTTGTCTTCCACTACCATTCTTATCTAATGATATTTTTTATTTATATGTTTCATCTTAGAATAAAAAGTGGAGCGCTTGGTAAGATAGATATCACTCTGATTATCACAAAATAAGATGTACCTTGACTGCTCAAAGCCAAGATCATTAATAAACTCCTTTATCTATAATAATTCTTTGGCACCTTCGGTAACAACAATATCGGCTTATGTTATGGATAGAGCTATGTACTTCTGTAGTCTAAATTGCAAAGAAATAGTTCCCTCTGCAAAGGTGATCAAATAACCGGAAATGGATCTTGAATTATCAATATTTCCTCTTAAATTAGAGTTTGTAAAACAAATAAGTTGAGGCTTACCACTGCCAAAGCACAGTTTCAAATATGTAGTACCTTTCAGATACCTTAATATCAATAGTACTTGATCCAATATTCCTTTCCAGGATTAGAAAGGAACTTACTAACAGTACCAATGGCATGTGCAATATCTGATCTAGTGCAAACCATTGCATACATCAAACTACCAACAACAGAAGAGTAAGGAATACGAGACATCTCTTTTTTCTCTTCATCAGCAGATGGCTCTAACTAATACTCAATTTAACGTGTTTAGCAAAAGAAGTACTAACCACTTTTGCATCTGTCATATTGAACCTCTTGAGTACCTTCTCAATGTATTTCATTTTGGACAAAAATAACTCTTTTCTATCTCTGTGTCGGGGGATTTGAATGCCCAAGATTTTCTTTGCTGACTCCAAGGCCTCCATAGCAAATAATTTGCTCAACTACTTTTAAGGACTAATTCTGTATTTATTCTTGCCAACAATAAGCATATCATCCACATAAAGCAATAAGGTAATAAGATCATTATCATAGAACTTCTAGAAGAGTACACAGTGGTCTAAAAAAATTTCTTGTACCCTTATTTTTCTATGATAGATTTAAACTTCAAGTACTATTTCCTTGGAGCTTGTTTTAATCCATACATGCTCTTTTTCAATTTGCAGACATAATTTTATTTTCTTAATTACAAAACTCTCAGGCCACTCTATATAAATCTCCTTATCTAAATCACCAAGATGAAAAGCAGTATTTACATCCATCTACTCAACCTCTAAATCTCGACTCGTAGCTAAGCTTAGAACCACACGAATAGAAGATATCTTCACAATAGGGGAGAAAATTTCATCAAAGCGAACTCCCTTCTTCTGGCCAAAACTTTTAACAACTAATCTCGCCTTGTACCTAAGTGCGGAGGTATGTTGATCTAGATTTATTCTGAAAATCTATTTATTTGATAAAGCTCTCTTACCTTTCGGCAATTTCACTAACTCATATGTGCCATTCACATGGAGTGACATCATCTCATCTTTCATGGCTTCTATCCACTGATCTTTGTGAGCATCTTGCATGGCTTCATCATAACTCTCAGGTTCTCCCATATCTGTCAAAAGTACATACTCATCAGAAGGATAGCATATGAATTTTTTCTTCTCCCTTGTAGATCTCTAAGAGAGGTTTCAGGAGCATTCGAAGTAGTTATCTGAGCAGGAATTAGTTGTTGATCAGCCCTAACTTCATCAACTGGAGTATCCATTACATCTACACCATGATGATCATTTTGATCTTGATCAATATCTTCATTATTTTCTTGGGTTTCATGTGCAATAGGTATCTTAGCAATAAAAACTGGATCAATATCAATTATACTCTCATTACTCTAAGAATCTATCTTCTCAGCTTTATCAATATCTTCAATAGTCTGGTCTTCAAAGAATATTGCATCACGATTTCTAATAAGTTTATTATCAACTGGATCATAAAAACGATACCTAAACTCATCTTGATCATAACCAATAAAGATGCACTGCTTAGTTTTGACATCTAGCTTCAATCTCTCATCTTTAGGAACAAGCACACAAGCTTTACACCCAAAAACTCTCAGGTGATCATAAGAAATATCTTTGGCAAACCAAACTTTGTCTGGGACATCACCATCCAAAGAAAAAATAGGAGACAAATTGACAACACAAGAAACAATGTTAAGTACTTCCGCCCAGAATGTATTTGGAAGTTTAGCCTCTGATAGCAAGCATCTAACCCTCTCAACTAGAGTTCTATTCATCCTCTCTGCCAAACCATTCAATTGAGGCGTCTTGAGTGGAGTTTTCTGATGATGAAATCTTTCTTCTCTGCAATAGTTATCAAAGGAACCACAATAATCACCACCATTGTTAGTGGGAAAATATTTTAATTTCTTCCCCATTTGTCTCTCAGCTAAGGCCTGAAATTCCTTAAACGCGCCAAGTACTTAATCTTTGAATTTCAAAGGATAGACACAGAGCTTGCGAGAATGATCATCAATGAAGGTCACAAAGTAAAGTGCATCACCTTTTGACTTTATTTTAAAAAGACCACACAAATCAGAGTGTACTAGCTCCAATAATTTATGCTTTCTTGAAGGAGGATAGCAATGAATGAAAACCCTTTTCTGTTTGCCATCTAAAAAATGGATACACCTTTTCACCTTTACTTGTTTCACTCCAGAAAATAAATATTTCTTAGCCAAACACCTAATCCCCATCTCGCTCATATGACTCAGTCTTCTGTGCCACAATTCTGATAAAGTATCACTTTCTATCAGATTTATAGAGTCACTAAGAATAGACCCTTGTATCACATATAAATGAGAAGACTTGACTTCCTGAGCCACTACTAATGAGCCATTGGTAAGCTTTCATTGGCCATTAAATAAGGCATTATGTGTAACGACCCGACCAGTTATTTTGAACTTTAGCGTTCTATTCAGTGGTTTGAGACTTTGAGTAGCTTCATATTATGTATTATGACTTGCGTGTATGGTTGGTTTCAGTTTTCGAGCAGTTCGGGATTGACTTGGAAGAATGATTCTCGTTTTAGAAGTTTTAAGTTGGAAGAGTTGACCAAGGTTTGACTTTTGGGTAAACGAACTCGGAACCAGATTTTAATTATTCCAATAAGTTTGTAGGATGATTTTGGACATGTCCACAAAGCTTGGTTAAATTCCGATGAGGTTTGGATAAGTTTGGATTGTATAGTGATTGTTTTCGGTTTCGACGTTGATTTGAGCATAAAGGTTACCATATTGAGCAAACTGTCTTTGATTCGTGTTTTGACTAAATCATTATATTCGTATCATCATTTTGGAACCATAGCAACTGAAATCACCAAGTTTCGACATCGTATGAGAAATTTTGGTCATTTTTAAGAATTAGGTTACTAGATATTTCAGATTAATTATGAAATTGCCATTGAATTCGTATTTAAAAATCTGCACTATTTCCAAATATTGAAACCAACATATTTCTTTCATTATAATGTCAAATGGAGTGATTCAAAAGCCTAACTTAACTGTAATTTCACGTGAAATCCATTAGAGGTATCAAAAGCGAGTTTCGGGATCGTTTGGTATAAGAAACAAGGTAGAACAGTTGGGTATTTTGGCTATTAATGTTGTTAGAGTTTTTCTCATCTTGAAAGTTTGGGATTGGGAGAATTCAAGGATGTTCTTCAAGTTTCTTCCATGGGGTAAGGTCTAAACCATAACCTAAATATTTTTTTTTGATTAATTCCCTTGGTTTAAGCTTTAATCTATGATTTTAATTGAAAACTCATTTAATTATTTAAATCAAGACCTAGGGTTATGTCCTAAATTTTAAAAATTAAAAATGAGTTAGAGGCGTTTATTTCTCGATTCCTTTTGGGGTTTTGTTCTTCTATATTAGGAGAACAACATACCCGAATTTGACGAGTTTTGGAAGAGTATTTCAGGAGATATGGGACCCAACTAGTGTGGGTTGGACTCTTGGGTTATGAACACCCAAGAGCGATATTTTGGCGAATTTGTTGAGTTATCAGACTCCGATTGAGTCACTTTTTATTCATGTGAGTTTGTATTAGTTCGGGCTTCGCTCGGATAAGCTTGAATTCGGAATCCAAGGCAAGTCCGACATTGACTTTTGTTGACTTTTTGATTGACTTTGGGCTTTTGATTAAAGATTCGACCTTTATCGATTGGGTTTGTTTCCTTTGGCATTATTTGATTTTATTGAGTTGCTTTTGGCTAGTTTTGAGCCGTTCGGAGGTCGGTATTGAATTTTTAGAGTATTGTTTGGCTTACTCGGTATTGGATTCGGCTTGTTCGAGGTAAGTGACACTTCTAAACTTGGTGCTAAGGGTATGAATCCCTTAACATACGTGTTATGTGTTTGGTGTTGAGGTGACACACATGTAAGGTGATGGGTGTGTGGACGTGCACCATGTGAATTATGACTCGGTTGATTCTGTGATTCTGTGTAGTTACCTAATCTTGTTTCTATCCATTAATTTCAACGTGTTAGAGAAATTGAACTGTAAATCATGTTAGAAATTATATTTAGGCTATATGCTTATTCTGTTGGGACCCACTGAGGTCATCTATGCTATTGAGTTATTTGCTTAAATTGCAGTTACATACTCAGTCATATTCATTCATTCACATATCATATCTCAGTCTTTGTTATCCTTTGTTGTCACATCATGTTATCATTGTTTGGGTTGATTGGCACGAGATTTGTGAGCCCAAGAGGCTGGAGATAATGATGACTGAGTTGGGTCCTGAGATACGTTGTGAGAGATATTCTGGATCGGGCTGCACGCTGCAATAGGCCATATTGACTTTATATATATTATTATTATATGGATCGGGCTGTATATCGAAGCAGGCCTTATAGAATTTATTATTATTGATGGGATCAGGATGCACGCCACAACGGGTTTTATTAATTCATGATGGAATCGAAATGTACGCCGTAGCAGGCCATGTTGGCTTATATTAGCGCTTGGGCAGGATCCCCCCTCTGGAGTCTGACATACCAGCAGTAAGCGCATGTACCGTACAGTGCTGAGTGACTGAGGGTTCT